GACATTCTGTGTGGTTAAAACAGTAGACAGTAATGGACATTCTGTGTGGTTAAAACAGTAGACAGTAATGGACATTCTGTGTGGTTAAAACAGTAGACAGTATGGACATTCTGTGTGGTTAAAACAGTAGACAGTAATGGACATTCTGTGTGGTTAAAACAGTAGACAGTAATAGACATTCTGTGTGGTTAACACAGTAGACAGTAATGGACATTCTGTGTGGTTAAACACAGTAGACAGTAATTGACATTCTGTGTGGTTAAACAGTAGACAGTAATGGACATTCTGTGTGGTTAAAACAGTAGACAGTAATAGACATTCTGTGTGGTTAAAACAGTAGACAGTAATAGACATTCTGTGTGGTTTAAAACAGTAGACAGTAATATGGACATTCTGTGTGGTTAACACAGTAGACAGTAATTGACATTCTGTGTGGTTAAAACAGTAGACAGTAATGGACATTCTGTGTGGTTAAAACAGTAGACAGTAATGGACATTCTGTGTGGTTAACACAGTGGATAGTAATAGACATTCTGTGTGGTTAACACAGTAGACAGTAATGGACATTCTGTGTGGTTAACACAGTGGACAGTAAAAGACATTCTGTGTGGTTAAAACAGTAGACAGTAATGGACATTCTGTGTGGTTAAAACAGTAGACAGTAATGGACATTCTGTGTGGTTAAAACAGTAGACAGTAATGGACATTCTGTGTGGTTAAAACAGTAGACAGTAATGGACATTCTGTGTGGTTAAAACAGTAGACAGTAATGGACATTCTGTGTGGTTAAAACAGTAGACAGTAATGGACATTCTGTGTGGTTAAAACAGTAGACAGTAATGGACATTCTGTGTGGTTAAAACAGTAGACAGTAATAGACATTCTGTGTGGTTAACACAGTAGACAGTAATAGACATTCTGTGTGGTTAACACAGTAGACAGTCATGGACATTCTGTGTGGTTAACACAGTAGACAGTAATTGACATTCTGTGTGGTTAAAACAGTAGACAGTAATGGACATTCTGTGTGGTTAAAACAGTAGACAGTAATAGACATTCTGTGTGGTTAAAACAGTAGACAGTAATAGACATTCTGTGTGGTTAACACAGTAGACAGTCATGGACATTCTGTGTGGTTAACAGAGTAGACAGTAATGGACATTCTGTGTGGTTAACACAGTGGACAGTAATAGACATTCTGTGTGGTTAACACAGTGGACAGTAATAGACATTCTGTGTGGTTAACACAGTAGACAGTAATAGACATTCTGTGTGGTTAACACAGTAGACAGTAATAGACATTCTGTGTGGTTAACACAGTAGACAGTAATAGACATTCTGTGTGGTTAAAACAGTAGACAGTAATTGACATTCTGTGTGGTTAAAACAGTAGACAGTAATGGACATTCTGTGTGGTTAAAACAGTAGACAGTAATGGACATTCTGTGTGGTTAACACAGTGGATAGTAATAGACATTCTGTGTGGTTAACACAGTAGACAGTAATGGACATTCTGTGTGGTTAACACAGTGGACAGTAATAGACATTCTGTGTGGTTAAAACAGTAGACAGTAATGGACATTCTGTGTGGTTAAAACAGTAGACAGTAATGGACATTCTGTGTGGTTAAAACAGTAGACAGTAATGGACATTCTGTGTGGTTAACACAGTAGACAGTAATGGACATTCTGTGTGGTTAAAACAGTAGACAGTAATGGACATTCTGTGTGGTTAAAACAGTAGACAGTAATGGACATTCTGTGTGGTTAAAACAGTAGACAGTAATGGACATTCTGTGTGGTTAACACAGTGGACAGTAATAGACATTCTGTGTGGTTAAAACAGTAGACAGTAATGGACATTCTGTGTGGTTAACACAGTGGACAGTAATGGACATTCTGTGTGGTTAACACAGTGGACAGTAATAGACATTCTGTGTGGTTAACACAGTAGACAGTAATGGACATTCTGTGTGGTTAACACAGTGGACAGTAATAGACATTCTGTGTGGTTAAAACAGTAGACAGTAATGGACATTCTGTGTGGTTAACACAGTGGACAGTAATGGACATTCTGTGTGGTTAACACAGTAGACAGTAATGGACATTCTGTGTGGTTAACACAGTGGACAGTAATGGACATTCTGTGTGGTTGACACAGTAGACAGTAATGGACATTCTGTGTGGTTAACACAGTAGACAGTAATGGACATTCTGTGTGGTTAACACAGTGGACAGTAATGGACATTCTGTGTGGTTAACACAGTGGACAGTAATGGACATTCTGTGTGGTTAACACAGTGGACAGTAATAGACATTCTGTGTGGTTAAAACAGTAGACAGTAATGGACATTCTGTGTGGTTAACACAGTAGACAGTAATGGACATTCTGTGTGGTTAACACAGTAGACAGTAATGGACATTCTGTGTGGTTGGCACAGAACGGATCTAACTATGGGGTGACTGGTTTGCTGTGATCATGGAATTATGATGACCTGATTACATCGTGTTTCAGATCAAACCAAGTAAAGTAGCCAGACACAGCTTATCTTCCGACGTACAGGACATCGAGTCACATCGTCACCTTAATGTGCCTCCCTGTATCTTGTTAGGCTGGACGAGGTATTGCGGAATAACAAACCCGTTATATTCACATCCGAATAGTATCATGTTGAGTTACTGTATATAATTATTTCACCCGGCAGTCCCTATTCAAGGATATTTTCTATTGTCTCGACTTTAATCTCCGTTGCATAAGTGTGGTATCTGATGTGTTCTCCTCCCGTCCGCCGTACAGGGTCGGATTTCAATGTTTGAGCTTCGGCCCGCCAGCTGTGTCCTGCTGCCCCCTGGTATGTTGTCAGGCTTGCGGCTCCTTGTCACGTATTGAAAGATTTAAGTCAAGTGCAATTCAAACATTTGTCGCTCCATGTCACGGCTTGAAATATTTATGTTAAGTACAATTCAAACTTGTGTTGTTCCATGTCACGACTTGAAAGATTTATGTTAAGTACAATTCAAACATTTGTTGCTCAATGTCACGGCTTGAAATATGTTAAGTACAATTCAAACTTGTATTGTTCCATGTCACGACTTGAAAGATTTATGTTAAGTACAATTCAAACATTTGTTGCTCCATGTCACCACCTGAAATCTTTATGTTAAGTACAATTCAAACATTTGTTGCTCAATGTCACGGCTTGAAATATGTTAAGTACAATTCAAACTTGTGTTGTTCAATGTCACGTCCTGAAAGATTTATGTCAAGTACAGCTCACACTTCTGTTGTTCTTGAAAGGTCTATGTTAAGTACAATTCAAACTTATGTTTTTCCATGTCACGTCTTGAAAGACTTGCTTTAAGTGCAATTCAAAGTTCACATTTGGAGGGTTCTAATGTCAAGTTTTGCGAGACTTATGTCAATACAATTCAAACTTATATTGCTCCATGTCACGTCCTGAAATATTTATGTCAAGTACAATTCAAACTTGTGTTTTTCCATGTCATTTCATTAAAGATTTATGTTAAGTACACTTCAAACTGTTAAAATGGCATAGTGGGTAGAGTTTATACAGTAAATAATGTCACAGTACACATTGTTTTAATTAGATTGCACACTTTTCAGAAGGGAAAAAAAAGAACACCTTCTAACAAACCAAGAGGAGTCTGGGGGGGGGGGGGGCAGACAATGTGTGGAGGAATGGAACTATATGTGGGGGGGGGGAATGGAACTATATGGGGGGGGGGGGCAGACAATGTGTGGAGAAATGGGACTATATGTGGGGGGGGGGGCAGACAATGTGGGGAGGAATGGGAACTATATGTGGGGGGGGGGCAGACAATGTGTGGAGGAATGGAACTATATGTGGGGGGGGGGGGGCATGACAATGTGTGTGGAGGAATGGGACTATATGTGGGGGGGGGGCAGACAATGTGGGGAGGAATGGAACTATATGTGGGGGGGGGGGGGGGGCAGACAATGTGTGGAGGAATGGGACTATATGTGGGGGGGGGGGCAGACAATGTGTGGAGGAATGGGACTATATGTGGGGGGGGGCAGACAATGTGGGGAGGAATGGAACTATATGTGGGGGGGGGGGCAGACAATGTGGGGAGGAATGGAACTATATGTGGGGGGGGGGGGGGGGCAGACAATGTGTGGAGGAATGGGACTATATGTGGGGGGGGGGGGGGGGAGACAATGTGGGGAGGAATGGAACTATATGTGTGGGGGGGGGCAGACAATGTGTGGAGGAATGGAACTATATGTGGGGGGGGGGGGCAGACAATGTGGGGAGGAATGGAACTATATGTGGGGGGGGGGCAGACAATGTGTGGAGGAATGGAACTATATGTGGGGGGGGGCAGACAATGTGGGGAGGAATGGGACTATATGTGGGGGGGGGAGGGGGCAGACAATGTGTGGGGGAATGGGACTATATGTGGGGGGGGGGCAGACAATGTGGGGAGGAATAGAACTATGTGGGGGGGGGGGGCAATGCGTTAGGGTAAGGAGTGACAGAAAGAAGATGCCATGACTGATGTACACAAAGATGGACATAGACAATGTGGAAATACAGATTCAACTTTCATAATTAATTTCAACTGAGCAAGAGGAGAACAAAGAGATATCTGGGTAGCTTGGCTGTTTGACTTCAATAGGACAAGAATAAAGTCATTATTCTGTAACTTGTGTCAGTTGGCAACTACTTCCATTTACGATTATGTACACGATGATGATGGTGATGATAGTAATGATGATGATAACGATGATGATGATGGTGATGATGGTAATGATGATGATAACGATGATGATGATGGTGATGATGGTAATGATGATTATAACGATGATGATGATGATGCTGATGATTGATTGTTCGTTCTGAATCTTCTAGAGTACATTCGTCTGGGCGACAGATGCCGGACTTGGTCCGCCTTCTGTTGTTCAGATGTAGCAGAAAACACTTGGGAGTACATGTTGCAAGACTACAGTCTCGAGGTTCAGTGATGACCCATTGACAAACTGGCAGCTATGGCTGAAAACTTCATCCTCTTCTGCTTTTGTCGTTGGTTGCAAAACCACACCCTAACTACGTTTTTCTTCAAGTCCAACTTGTCTGCAATCTGGGCGATCTTCTCGCCTGACGGGCGCGGCTGGACTGCGAAGTAAGCCTCCAGGGATCGCTTTTCTGGTGCAGCAATGGATGTTCGCTTCCGCTTTTTGTCTCCGTTATAGCCGTTTTCCATTTCAGCCTTTCTCTCCATCGCTTGCCTCTCTGCGTCTTCAAGCCACGTGTGGAGGATTGGTTTTAGGGCAATCATGTTGTTGTGGCTCAGAGTTAAAGACTCAAACCTGCATATGGTGCTCTGACTGAGACAGCCGACTCCAGCGATTTTCAAGTTTGCTAGGGCGGACCCAACGTCAGCTTGCGTTACCCCCAGTTTTATCCGCCGCTGCTTGAATCTTTCAGCAAATAGTTCTAGTTCTTTGGGGTCACAGTCGGAGTCAAGGACGCCCTGGTGCAGTGTACCCTGGTGTGGCACAAACCCTGAATGACCCACAGATGAAGGATGGTGGCTGTACATAGGCGGGTACATTTGGTGATGTTGTGTATGTGGTTGGGGGCCTGGTGCCATTACACTGGGATGGTGATCAGTCATGGAGCCCATAGATCCGAACGGCATACCAGCTGGTCCTTTAGGTGGCACTGCTAGCTGATCAAACATGGACTCTGAAGGTGTGAAACTGTGGTGAGAATGTGGGTGTTGATGTGGGTGATGGTTGTGGGTGTGCATGGGCATCTGGTGACGAGCCCCTGCTCCTGGGTGAGCGGTGTACTCTGAGATCTGGTTGTAGAGTCCATCAGGTGTCATCATCTGATGTCCGGCAGAAGGTAACGCCTTGTCCGCGACTCCCATGGCCTCAGCCCGGCTCAGGAAGCTATCCTCGAGCCCCGTGAAGTAGCTGCCCTGAAAATAGACAAGGATTCACGTCAGCAACATGTGAACACGAAACCGCGGTAACGGTGGCAAGGCGTTCGCCTGCCCGCCTAAACGTCTTAGGGTCAAATCCACATCTGGCTCTGGAGACAACCTAGTCTGCAGTTATCCCAGGAAATGCCAGGCATGCAGAATCTGAGATGGCTTGGGCATCAGGAGACTGAGCACGAATAGATGGGACCGATCTGCTAGGATGTTGACATGGACAAGAAACAACTGACATACTGGCAATTCTTGTGCGACCTGGTCAATGCACGCTAGCCACTTTTGCTTCCTGAGACATTTCAGGCTGGCTCTATCAATTCAACTGTCAGCATGTGAAGATTCGAATCTATGAACTTCCTGTACGAACGACAAGTGCACTTGCCACTACCGCACGTCAGCTTCTCTGACACGTTTGTTTAAATGTCCTCATTCTGGGACTGCTTTCTGAAAGATTGACCTCCACTGACTCAAAGAGGCAATGTTCGTTTCTGTTCAAAAATTTAAGGTTACGCCATCAATAGGCAATGTTTTGCTGAGAGTGTTCTGGGATTGTCAAGGAGTGCTTTTAACAAATTAAAAAAAAAAAAAACCAGGTGACAATGTGAAAGCTGAGTCATACTGTAAAACTATGTCGATGCTTCATTATGTAGTTCAATGAAAACCTCCAGGCCTGCTGACTAGAGGAGTATTGCTCGTTCATGACAATGACAGACCACACACGGCTCAGTGAACTCTGTCTAACATTATTCATCTAGGGTGGGAATTTCTGGAATATCCACATTACTGCCCCGACTTAGCCTTTAGCAGTTACCCTCGTTTTTTGTTCACTCAAAACCTACCTCGGCGGAACGACATAGAAGTTAAATATGAAATGAAGATGTGGTTTAGAAAACAGAGCACCCATCACTATGCAGCAGGTTTAGGAGGACTGATAAAACGATAGAACAAGAGCATCAGTGTTGGTGGAAATTATGTTGAACAATAAAGAAACAGTGTATGTGTAAAAATAGATGGTTTTCAGGTTGTTATCGCCTTTTTTTTTTTAAACAATCATTTGTGACTTATTGACTTTCCCTATTATTTACCTTTCAGACTCCTGTCTGTACGATTGACAGCTCAAGGATGGGAACCAAACGGGTGCAAATCATCAAAACCGCCTTCAACCGTATAGTCCTAATTCATTCATTCATTCATCCATTTATTCATTCAGTTATTTATTCATTCATTCATCATTCATTCATTTATTCATTTATTGTCTTTTCGTGAAATTATATGCCGTATAGAGCGTGTAATCTATTCCTCAGGCCCGTAGTATCAAATCATTATGATGAATGGAATCCAATCAAGCATCATTGGCCTCTCTCATCTTCGTTTGTTATAGGGTTTCTTTTGGACGCTTTTGCTCCCTCAATCCCTTTATGTATGACACCATCCTCTCAGACTGTGTCCAGTATAACGCCATCCTCTCAGACTGTGTCCAGTATAACGCCATCCTCTCAGTCTGTGTCCAGTATAACTCCATCCTCTCAGACTGTGTCCAGTATAACGCCATCCTCTCAGACTGTGTCCAGTATAACGCCATCCTCTCAGACTGTGTCCAGTATAACGCCATCTTCTTTGTCCTGCAACTGTTGTTGCCAGTGATTGTCTAGATATTTCTCTTATTTATTCACATCTCTTGAATTGATCACATTTTATTTATCAACATTTTCCACAGACATTTGTTTTCAAATACATTCAACTGTCAATCCATGACTCTTGTGGTTCTACAACTTTCAGTGGCAAATGTTAAAACTGAACAACATTAGACGTGAGAATAACTCCCTTGATGTCAGCAGTCTCTGTCACGACTGTCGGTATGTAGGATCTTTCAGGGCGGCATAGACGGGGTGTCGTGAGTCTGGAGATTTAGGGCGGCCTAGACGGGGGTCGTGAGTCTGGAGATTCAGGGCGGCCTAGACGGGGGGTCGTGAGTCTGGAGATTCAGGGCGGCCTAGACGGGGGGTCGTGAGTCTGGGGATTCAGGGCGGCATAGACGGGGGTCGTGAGTCTGGAGATTCAGGGCGGCATAGACGGGGGGTCGTGAGTCTGGAGATTTAGGGAGGCATAGACGGGGGGTCGTGAGTCTGGAGATTTAGGGCGGCCTAGACGGGGGGTCGTGAGTCTGGAGATTCAGGGCGGCATGGCTAGTGCTGTAGCCGAGCACTGTGCAGGTTAGGATGTTTGATTTTGCCCCCAACAGTAAAGCTGGGGGTCGAACCCAGGTCTTCCGCAGACACCCGGATGTGGCAACCGCTGAGCCAGCCGCTCTTAACTTGGTTTTAAACTGCACAGTTCAGAGTTCATCATTGTATCAGGTAATGAAAAACTACAGATGCAATGTTATTGCTTGTCATAATTTCATTCCGTCGCTTGCTTGACTATGATAACTACTACTTAAAGATAGCACAGTTATACTGCGGTCTCACAGAAAGGTGACGAAGTAACCAGTAGTGCCAGGGGTTCACAGTGTTTTTTCGCTACGGCACACTTGTCTCGCTAAAAAAAAAAAAATAGGGGCACACCTACCCGTGAAACGGTTGAATGCTCAGGGAAAGAATGAACAAAACTGCAAATTTAATGTCCAGTTGTCTTTAATGCGATGAATGAAACTTTGGATGAATTTTGTTCATTATATCCTTGACATATTTATGTTTAGACATTCTCTCCATCATGGACAGCCCTGACTGAGGAGATAAAGCGCGGCATTTGAAGATTTCGTAACATTTATGTGAATCAGAATGATTGCATTCCAGATGACTCCTTAACCCCAGCTTTAATTATCGACTGCACCTTCGCCAATGCTGGTAGAGGATCGGTCGCATCTCGAGATAAATGCAAAGACAATTCTTAGCCCGCTGAAGTTGCATATTATGCAATACAAAGCAAAAACAAAAAACAAACTTTTTTCGACAGTGGCAAGGAAAGACAATTTAAAAATTAACTTATAATTATGCGCATGCCTTCTTTAATAATTTCTAAGTTTTAGCCGACTTCATTTGATTACTTCCGCGGCACCCCTGACATACGCTCTCAGCACCACAAGGTACCACGACACTCCCGACATACGCCGTGGCACCCAGTTTTGGAACCTCTGCTCTGTACGATAAGATATCAGAGATCTTTGACCCGACCCTCTACCAGGCAGCAAGTTTTCCTTGACTACCAGTTGGTCTAGCATCTGATAGCCTTGCTGGCTAAGTCAACACAGACGGCTCTGTTCAACGATCATTATCGTGCGGCACATGTGAAAGGTCCCAGGTTCGATTATCTCATTGACTGAAGTTTCGATCGTTATCCAAAGAAAGAGCAGAAGCGGGAGAATTCATTCCGTTATTACTTCCCTTGTATTGGTTAAATTTTGAGACAACGGACAAACAGGACTAGCAAAATTAAACGACCTGTTTGCAAACCATTGAGCATATTGGGCACACAATGCTGGACCTTTATTTTGTAGACCATACATACATACATACATACATACATACATACATACATACATACATACATACATACATACATACATACATACATACATACATACATACATACATACATACATACATACATACATACATACATACATACATACATACATACATACATACATACATACATACATACATACATACATACATACATACATACATACATACATACATACATACATACATACATACATACATACATACATACATACATACATACATACATACATACATACATACATACATACATACATACATACATACATACATACATACATACATACATACATACATACATACATACATACATACATACATACATACATACATACATACATACATACATACATACATACATACATACATACATACATACATACATACATACATACATACATACATACATACATACATACATACATACATACATACATACATACATACATACATACATACATACATACATACATACATACATACATACATACATACATACATACATACATACATACATACATACATACATACATACATACATACATACATACATACATACATACATACATACATACATACATACATACATACATACATACATACATACATACATACATACATACATACATACATACATACATACATACATACATACATACATACATACATACATACATACATACATACATACATACATACATACATACATACATACATACATACATACATACATACATACATACATACATACATACATACATACATACATACATACATACATACATACATACATACATACATACATACATACATACATACATACATACATACATACATACATACATACATACATACATACATACATACATACATACATACATACATACATACATACATACATACATACATACATACATACATACATACATACATACATACATACATACATACATACATACATACATACATACATACATACATACATACATACATACATACATACATACATACATACATACATACATACATACATACATACATACATACATACATACATACATACATACATACATACATACATACATACATACATACATACATACATACATACATACATACATACATACATACATACATACATACATACATACATACATACATACATACATACATACATACATACATACATACATACATACATACATACATACATACATACATACATACATACATACATACATACATACATACATACATACATACATACATACATACATACATACATACATACATACATACATACATACATACATACATACATACATACATACATACATACATACATACATACATACATACATACATACATACATACATACATACATACATACATACATACATACATATATGCTCAAAACGTTGTCAACTTATTCTCACCAGAAGAAACGGCTAAATATTTTTCACTAAGAAAAAAACTTGACATTAAGTGGAGGACAACAAGCGGGACATGAACGATACAGTTTTTGAGGTAGAATCATGTAAAGAGAGTGCCATAAGCAATGTCTGAAAGAGGGATAAATCAAAAATAAAATGACTGCAGAAAGGATGGAAGCTCAGCGTCTCAGAAGAAACACGTTCAACATTTGTTGTGGCAACAACGATTATGAAATGCCATGCTCTGATCGTGGGAAACTTGTCTGTACGCTGGCGGGTCTTGCTTGTCAGCCTCGCCATTGCCATGTCCTTTAAATACAAGGACTCCCCATAGCAAAAATAACACTATCGTCTGGAACTAAGGAAAGGTGCCAATAACAAATAGAACAACAAATACAATTACCGACAGACTACAGACATACAACAGGAGCACATCGACCAAGAACTATATTTACCCAGACACCACCTACCGTGGAGGGCGAGGGCACCCTTCTGATCCTATCATGTGGCGCCCTCCAGTGGTGGATCCCCGGGGAGTGCCGACCCCCCGGGTATGGAAGTAGGGTCGGCGTGATCCCCAGCGCAGGTTGTTTCAAGTTCATGAGCGGATTGAGCGTCTGCTGTTGGGGGCTGAAGGTTTCACACAAAATCACTGTCAGATGAATTCGTGGGGGTGATGTCCCCTGGCAAACCAATTTCTGGTAGCAACCTAACGCTGTATGGGCTTGTTCTTTTGTGTCAGTATTTACAATTTCTGATCCCCAGTAACATGTCAATAATATACGTTTTGTCACTAATTTAAAGCAACAGGGATTTATACTTTATGCAGCCGTTTTACGGAGTTACACGGAGACGACCTGAGTCACAGATCGCGAGAAGAGTGGAATGATCGCTTTGTTTGCTACACGAGCTCATTGATCTAGGGTCTAACATAACTACAGACAGGTCGCTTCATAACCGCTCGTTTTTTTTCTGCGAGTGGAAGCCACACAAACAAGAGGTCTCAATGCCTCATGTGAGAACTAGTTGAAACTTTGTCAGTCTCAGCAAAATCTTAAAGCTTGCACACGCAGTAAAAATGCATAAGACAGCTGTCAAAATTAACACAAAGCGGGATGTTACAAAAGTTATTCCATCCTTATATTTCAGCATTGTGAAACTGTTTTTACAACCCGTATGCATAAAAATCGCATGTAAATAAAATCATGTAAGTGTGTGTCCGACTTCCATATTTGGCTTGTTGTCCACAGTACAAACTAGACATCGCAGACATAAAGACCGCAGTAAACGGTAAAAATCATTGCAGCATTTACAAAATCACTTTTCACTCTATCAATTATTCACAAGATTCTGGGTTTGTTTTCAAATGTTTCCGTCTGTATTTGATGTTTGAAATCCTTGTGTGTAGAAATCTTTTCATGAAACAATATTAACGACCGCGCCATCAATAATAGACTTGACGAAAGCAACGATTACTCAGAGTCCAGGTGCTATTCGAGACGATACCAAGGCTGGTTTCTACCAGCAGAAACAGGTCCTCGTTACATTCAGACGACGTGCAGACAGCAGTAATGGCGTCTCATGAAGATTTCATGCAGTGTAAATATCAAATGCGCGCTGGAGCCTTTCGTCGGCATTAAAATTTCATGACAGCAATTGTCTAGGATGGGTTGTCGGGATCCGGTGTTGCTGGGTTGAGTCGTCGGCGACGAGGAGATCATCGATCAGGGCGGGTCTCTCTCAGCCAATCGCCGGCGTGGAGCCTCACGGTGAGGTGGTGTCCTAGAGATGCGAGCACAGGGCTGGGCGCCAGGCATTTAGACGTTATTCCTGGAGTGACGACCTGACAGTTGTCAGATCGCTGGTGTATTCTTTTGTCCCCTGTTTGGCTTTTATGTGCTACAGGGTTTGTCTCTGTCACGGTATGGGCCCTAGTCGGTATCATTGTGTTGATTTATCTAGTTTCTGACTATGAGTTGCTCAGAAAGCCACAGAGACAAAAGTAAAAGAAGGAATAAAGGCAGGAAAAAAGAAAGAAAGAAAGTGGAAGGGAAAAAATGATAAGTAAATTCAGTGATAGATGTTTGAATAAATGGCTAGATGGATGATTAGATGGATCTATTAATTGGTGTATGTGTGGGTAGATAAATGAACAGATAGATGGGTAGGTTGATGAGGAGTGGAGATAAATGGATAAATGAACAGATGGATGGGTAGGTTGATGAGGAGTGGAGATAAATGGATAAATGAACAGATGGATGGGTAGGTTCATGAGGAGTGGAGATAAATGGATAAATGAACAGATGGATGGGTAGGTTCATGAGGAGTGGAGATAAATGGATAAATGAACAGATGGATGGGTAGGTTCATGAGGAGTGGAGATAAATGGATAAATGAACAGATGGATGGGTAGGTTCATGAGGAGTGGAGATAAATGGATAAATGAACAGATGGATGGGTAGGTTCATGAGGAGTGGAGATAAATGGATAAATTAACAGATGGATGGGTAGGTTCATGAGGAGTGGAGATAAATGGATAAATGAACAGATGGATGGGTAGGTTCATGAGGAGTGGAGATAAATGGATAAATTAACAGATGGATGGGTAGGTTGATGAGGAGTGGAGATAAATGGATAAATGAACAGATGGATGGGTAGGTTCATGAGGAGTGGAGATAAATGGATAAATGAACAGATGGATGGGTAGGTTCATGAGGAGTGGAGATAAATGGATAAATGAACAGATGGATTGGAAGGTTGATGAGGAGTGGAGATAAATGGATAAATGAACAGATGGATGGGTAGGTTCATGAGGAGTGGAGATAAATGGATAAATGAACAGATGGATTGGAAGGTTCATGAGGAGTGGAGATAAATGGATAAATGAACAGATGGATGGTTAGGTTCATGATGAGTGTAGATAAATGGATAAATGAACAGATGGATGGGTAAGTTCATGAGGAGTGTAGATAAATGGATAAATGAACAGATGGATGGTTAGGTTCATGAGGAGTGGAGATAAATGGATAAATGAACAGATGGATGGGTGAGGTTTCATAACACCAGGTGATGTGTAACGGAAATGAAGAGCAAAACAAGGACAGCATAAATTACAATTTGTCAGATTAAAACTGTATGTTGTAATGAACTACTTTCACTGAATGTCAGAAATAGAGCACTGACTTATGATGTCTGAGCAGTCCTATCGTATGGCAGCCAATCACAACCAGTGAACGGACACATTAGGGCCAGCTAGGAGTCAGCGGAGAGGGGACACTAGTAAACGGCATGGACAGAGTAACTAGCAGAGACTGGCTACAGAAACCTCATACAGTACCAACTAACCAGCTTGATTTTCAATGGGTTTAGAATCGGGCACCCAGACCTGTCTTACATTCTGTCCTTCTAACTCATTCCGTGCATATTTTATTCCATGCATATATCATAAAACATTTAATAATAATAGTAAAATAATAATAATAATAATAATAATAATAATAATAATAATAATAATAATAATAATAATAATAATAATAATAATATTAATAATAATATTAATAATAATAATAATAATAATAATAATAATAATAATCAATGAAACAACAAAACAACATCGAAGTAAAGGTTACAAAATGAAGAATTTGCTCTAACTCTGCTCACATTTCTAAAAAATAGAAAAAGTTAAGTTTCTTGACGTTCACCGGAATTCAAATCCGGTGAAAAGTTATGGTTGTTCGTTCACTTTTTAAAATTGTGTCTTGTTCCAGAACTTGAGTGTTGCGTGCACAGCTGTTACACAAATCTGGCATGTTTGTATGCAGACTGTTGGTTTATCGACTCTCAGGCAGATGCATTTCGACTTCAAAAGAAACATCACAAATTACTTGACTTTTACGACATGCTTGTTGGGGGCAGTGTGTCCATTATGTGTCCCTATAAAGTGGCAGCTTCGGAATAGACGCGGCGATCCAGATATAACAAATCTAGCGCACACAGACAATACACTCTAGATATTGTTATCTTCTAACGGGGCATCTAGTCTGTAATGAGATAGTACAGGGCACACAGACAATACACTCTAGATATTGTTATCTTCTAACGGGGCATCTAGTCTGTAATGAGATAGTACAGGGCACACAGACAATACACTCTAGATATTGTTATCTTCTAATGGGGCATCTAGTCTGTAATGAGAAAGTACAGGGCACACAGACAATACACTTTATATATTGTTATCTTCTAATGGGGCATCTAGTCTGTAATGAGACAGATAGTACAGGGCACACAGACAATACACTCTAGATATTGTTATCTTCTAATGGGGCATCTAGTCTGTAATGAGATAGTACAGGGCACACAGACAATACACTTTATATATTGTTATCTTCTAATGGGGCATCTAGTCTGTAATGAGATAGTACAGGGCACACAGACAATACACTCTAGATATTGTTATCTTCTAACGGGGCATCTAGTCTGTAATGAGATAGTACAGGGCACACAGACAATACACTCTAGATATTGTTATCTTCTATTGGGGCATCTAGTCTGTAATGAGATAGTATAGAAGATTATAGGTAGCTATAGCACAGAGACAAACTGGATATAACGGGGAAGGGGGTGTGGTACTGATAGAGAACATCGCGACAAATGAACAGATCGGCTTTCGATTGATGAACATATAAAGATTAACTGGGTGGTCTAAAATAGTCGTCGGTGGGAGGGGGCCTAAGGGCGGGGGTTAATCATCAACTAGAAATGAGTCAGTATATCAAAGAATGAGATTTGTTAAAGTGCATTACCAATTGCCCCGTATGGCATGGCGCATGATGATGATAACACATTGTTTCGTTGTTTAAGCTTATAAAATAATTTGCACGCTGGCAGTGCTGAATAGATTACAGTTACTTGTCTAGTTCTCTCTCAAAGCTAGTGACTGGAATGTGTCTAGTTCTCTCCTAAAGATATTCACTGGAATGTGTCTAGTTCTCTCCTAAAGATATTCACTGGAATGTGTCTAGTTCTCTCCTAAAGATATTCACTGGAATGTGTCTAGTTCTCTCCTAAAGATATTCACTGGAATGTGTCTAGTTCTCTCCTAAAGATATTCACTGGAATGTGTCTAGTTCTCTCCTAAAGATATTCACTGGAATGTGTCTAGTTCCTTCCTAAAGATATTGACTGGAATGTGTCTAGTTCTCTCCTAAAGATATTCACTGGAATGTGTCTAGTTTCTTCCTAAAGATATTGACTGGAATGTGTCTAGTTCTCTCTTAAAGATATTTACTAAAATGTGTCTAGTTCTCTCCTAAAGCTAGTCACTGTAATGTGTGTAGTTCTCTCCTAAAGATATTCACTGCAATGTGTCTAGTTCTCTCCTAAAGATATTCACTGGAATGTGTCTAGTTCTCTCCTAAAGATATTCACTGGAATGTGTCTAGTTCTCTCCTAAAGATATTTACTGGAATGTGTCTAGTTCTCTCCTAAAGATATTCACTGGAATGTGTCTAGTTCCTTCCTAAAGATATTGACTGGAATGTGTCTAGTTCTCTCTTAAAGATATTTACTAAAATGTGTCTAGTTCTCTCCTAAAGCTAGTCAC